TTCATTCATTAAGGGAAGAGTTAGAGTATATATTACAATATGGCCGAGGCCGAGAGTACACAGATGTCCATTACATAAACAAAAAAAATATGTTCAAGACACTACTAAATACAGATCAAATATTTTCAGCTCCGGGGGCAGCCTCTTCCGCGGGCTTCGAGATGACCTCCATGCCAACCTCTGCTTCATCCCCCTCGGCCTCTTTCAGAAGCTCAAAATCCTCCAATTCTGGCCTTTCAACGCCCTCAGGAAGGGGGACTCTGATATCAGGCTGGAGGGGTGGCAGGCCATAAGCCGCCGGATCGAAGGCCGACGGCTCGATCTTCAGATGCCGAGCAAGCCTTCTATAGATCAAGGCCTGGGTGAAGAATTCCCCCCGGCATAGTAATCTTCACCCTTTCGGGCTAGCCACATCGCCCCGGGGCCCTTCACCCACCCGTCGGTGGAGCCCTCCACGACCGAGGCCACCCAGTCCTTATGGCCTTCGGCCTTCCAACCCTTGGTCATGAAGGCGGCAACTGCACCAGCGGCGGCCTCTGCTTTTTCGGCCTCGGCATCTTCGAGGGCCTTTTTTGCAGCCTCGACAGCAGCCTTCTCCGCCACCGCCTTCTCCTTGGCCGCCTTCTCAGCTTCCGCCCTCGCCTGCTGGAGGTCCCTCTCCAGCTGAGCCATCTGCCTCATGGCCTCGGCATTGTCATGAACAAGCTTCTTAAGGGACTCCTCCTGTTGCGCCTTCTGGAGGCGCCACTCGTCGAACCTCCTGGCGTGTTCGCTGAGGGCTATGCAGGCCTGTTTAAACAAACAACAAAGTAAGGGGTTAAACTATGATCACGCAACAGATAAAATCATAGGCCACTATGCAAAGGAAAAAGAAAGAAGAAGAAAAGAAGGAGAAGAACTTACGGTAAGGGAGGACCGGAGGATTTTGGACTCGAGGGCTTCATCGTCGAGCTTCCCGAGGGCCCGCCTATCCAGAGCGGGCGTAGCCCCACCCAAAAATTCCCGAGGGTCTACTGTGCCATGCGTAATGGCTGCCCCCTTCAGCAGGGAGAACTGTATGTCCTCCCGGGGCAAGCTTGCCTCACCACCTTGACCCGAGGGCGGGAGAGGAGCAGTCGATGTCATTGGAGCACTGGGCTCGGAGGCGGAGTGCTCGTCCACCACCACCACCAGGGGAGCCTTCTTCCCGGCATCCCCCTTCTTCTGCTTCTTCCCCTCGGGGATTGGCGCCTTGCCGGCGGCCTTCCGCTTTGCGGCCTCCCCCGAGGGCTCACTGCCCTTCTTCAGCTCCCCGAGGGGCTTCTGCTTGACGGGCTCCTTCTGGCCTGGGGCCTTCACCTTTTGCTTTTTGAGGTTGGCGAAGGCATTGAGGTCCATGTTGATACCTGAAAAAATAATAAACGGTTAGAGCCGGAGGAGAAAAGATACAACGAAAAGCATATCTACACCTAAATATGCATAAGTCTAAAGGACTGAATGCTCTCAGCAACTACCTCCGGAGGCTCTCTCAAATGCTGGGAATCTTTCATCCGTTTCCCCCAGGAAGCTATACCGCCGGAATCTGAGGGTGTAGAGATCCTCCTCTTTGGTGCACTCCTTGATGGTTATGTTTTTGTCCCGGCCCTCCGGGATCTTGGCCAGGATCCTGCCGTCTTTCTCGAGGGCGGCGCTCCTCCTCTTCTCATGCCTCCTGAACCGGTCACGCAATTCCCTCGGGAAGGGGCTCTCGGTCAGCTTCACATAGCACCACCGGTCTTTCCACCCTTTGTTTGAGGAGGGCGCCTCAATAAAAAGCTTGAACAGGGCCACATGCTGCAAGTTTGCGAAGCCCTCGGCATTTGCATGCCCCCCGGCACAGGTTGAAGCTCTGGAAGAAGAGATCCAGGCTAGGCGTTACTCCCCGGGACTTGCAGAGCTGGAGGAAGCCCGTGATGTAGGAATGGCTGTTCGGGGTCAGCTGACAGGGGACCAAACCCACGAACCGGAGGTACTCCCGGAGGAAGGGGTGTAGGGGGAACCGGAGCCCCATCGACACAGACATGACATGCACCGCAATGCAGCCCTCGGGAGCTTGGGAGAGGACGTCATCGGGACCCGGTGTCACCACGATGGCCGAGGGGCCCACGTGTAATTGGGTGTCATAGAGATCCGCCGCATCAGCCTTCGACCTTATCTCTAAGGCGGAGGTATTCAGGTAGGAATACCCCTCGGGCATGTCGAGGGGCTTCCCTTGGTCTGCGACACGACCCTTCTTCTTGGAAGCGACAGCCTTTGCCTTCTTTTTTCCGGGGGCCACCCGGATGGGAACCGCATTCAGCGGCCGAGAGGTGCTGGCCTCGCCAGTGCCCCGAGGGGGGAGAACAGCAACAGTGACCCTCGCGCCCTCTTTCTGCGCCTCTTCTTCAACTGCTTGCCAGGCGAGGGCCAGCTCTTCATCTTCACACTCTTGTTCGAAGCCCTCGGCTTCCGCCTCAGCGACGAGGGCTCTCTGCAGCTCCATGGCGACAACAACATCTTGTCCCACCGAGGGCTGTTCGCTTGTGGACTCCACGTCCGAGATGACTTCATCCTCCATCGAGGGCGCCCCCGAGATGTCCTGGGAATCACTTTGGGAAGACATCTATGCACTAGTTCGAGGGCTCGGAAACACTAGAGTTTTCTAAAAGTTCTATCTCCTAGCCTAAAGACACAGGGCACAGCTAACTAGAAGGAGAAGAGCAATGGGGAACTGACCTTAAGGCAAGGATTGATCGAAGGCGACTGTTTCTCTCTCTAGAAATTTTGGCAGAGCTTCACTACAATGATTTCGCACAAAGGAAAGTGAAGCCGGCCATGGGGGATTTATAGGCACTAGGATCCGGGCTTGGGCCTGGAAACCGGGCCTCTGGTTGGACTGCCATCATTACCAACCGTGGTTTCACCCAATCGGTGACGCCCGCCCACGGGCAGCCAACGAGCACGCACCACGTGGCAACCCCCCCAACGGCTATATCCTGACGTTACATATTCCAACGGCTGTATTTCCAACGGCTATATTCTGGGAGCCCCCGGGCTTTTTACTTCACTCCACTTCATCAAGGAGAGCCTCCGGGTACACTTACCCAGAGACGCTCCCGGGTTGTGCCCCACACAGTACATAACGAATTCCTTCGGGATCACTCCTTCAGAAGCCCAAGGCTTCATATCTGGCCACCCCTTGGGGATCCCCCCTCAGCACTTTGAGGGCCGGGTAGCCCCCGGGGAGTATGCCTCATTGACGGATAGCCTACGGCACACAGGTAACGGGACCCCTCAGATATCCTCATCACCAACTAATCAACAAACAGGGGACCCCCCGGTAACAATTCAACTACTACCCACATTCATTACGCCCTCGATCCCCAGATTGAGGGACTCCCCTTCGGCACCTCCCAGGGTATCAAAAGCAAGCTTCCGGCTAATCAACAAATGAGCCCCCAGAACGGGGAAAGCCTTCGGCATCATCATCATTCTCCATTTCGAACCAAGGTTTCACATTTTCGATTCATCGTTGGGGGAATTCGGTGCACTCTTTTTCCCTCATTAGGATTTTTTCCCACAGGGTTTTTCCTAATGAGGTTTTTAACGAGGCATCCCCCCAAAATGAAACGAAAAGCGTCAGCCTTCGGCCCACAACAGCAACGCAACTACTCTACTCCTTTTTCACCACTTTGCAAGTGCCTCAAGGAGTGGGGGACTGGAGGACCCCCTCGGGAAAAATCACAAAAAATCACAAACATGACCCCTCAAGTCCCGACATGTGGGTAACTGAGGGACTGCCCTCGGCAGAATAAACAAAACAGTAAACTACCCACAACTCTACAAACTACAAACGGAACAACGGCAGAGGACAAACACAATTACTCCTTTTCCCTCAAGTACCTTTCGGCAAAAGGAGTGAGGGACTCCTGATGGAGTATATGGCCCGGGAACCCCCGGCCCACAGACTCATACTACTCCAATAAAGGCCCAACAGGCCCAGAGAGCACAACAGGCCCAAATCACAGCGTCCAGAGTACCGAGCAGCCCACAATGCGCACCAGGGGTGCCTTCGGCCCCCTGGCCGAAGGCACTAACTCTCACAAGAGGGCCAAGACAGGAAAACAAAGTTACTGGGAAAAACGGCGAAAATCAGTAGCCCTCGGCAGTGGGAGCCCTCGGCACTAAGGGGGTCCCCGGTACTCAGAGCCCTCGGCTAGTCCTCTACAGCCGAGGGCACCTTTCCCGACATGATATCCGCACCACATGCGTACAGATCACCGTACCCTGTACAACGTCCCATCCAACAGCCGCATTAAATGCGGCCACATGCGGTTGCCAGCGCCAACCAGATGAGGTGACCTCTCAGCCAATGGACGCTTGACACGTGTCCCTTACCGGCATTTATTGGTACTATAAATAGCACCCCATTTCCCCATTTGTAACCACGCTAAAAACGCTGAACACTCTCCAATATACTTTCTCTCTCTATACTTACTTGCTCTGACTTCTCTCTTGTTATTCCCCGTAATAACCTCTCGGATAAGCTACCCCCGAGTACACTATCCATCAATAAATATTTATGGCTAAAATATATAAATATATTATATATTTAATACTATCGTATTTTTTATTTTATAAATTTCAGTATTCGGTACAGACCGAAAACCAAAACATTTATATATATACCGGACCAAATATCGAATTTTCAAAATTTTACGTACCGATTACCGAATTGAAATTTCTATTTGGTATTTGGTATGTAGCGAAATTTCAATATTGATATGGTTCAATTGGTTTATTGAATTGTGCACATCACTAGAATCAACCAATATAGCTAATTTGGATAATAGCTTCTATCAATATACTTTCCCACTTTTGAAAGTCTTTCGCACTTTTGAAAGTTTGAGGCATTTTTCACCTTTATGGCTTTTGTGTATTTGAACCTATTGAGTTTGCTTTTATTTAATGAATAACATAGACTTGAGTGACAAGTGACAACATCTTCATTAACTACAACCAAAATCTGAGATGTAATTTAAGTGAGCGAAAGACAATATATCCAGCTGTAAATCTTCAATGAAGCGTAGTCGGCAGATCCCTTTTAGAGAGAGAGAGAGGTGATTAAAGACTAAGCAGAAGAACAAGAGCAATAGAGCATATGTCATACTTATGTAGTTCTAACACCCATACAAGAGACTACAATTCCTATCAGTTTCTTCCCTGCATTTGAAGATTTCGAGGTAAATGTTACACTCATAAAGGCTCCTCATTTTCCCTCCTATTCGTAAAAACAAATTTGAAATTTCTTCATTTTCTCAGCCTTGGATCAGATTTGGTCAACTGTTGCTAAAAGAGTGTTTGATTGATCTGAGCTTTTGTTTTTCGATGTGAAAGTTTTGCTAAGAAATGGACGAAACAACTGAGAGGTCATCACATGCGCACAGGGGTTTCAGAATTCAAGCTCCACTGGTGAGACTTTACACGTTTATTGATATTTCTTTCTGTTAATATCTCTGTATATATAACTACTGCTATTTATGATTACTCTCAATACTTTCCTATCGAAGCTCTCCTTCTTGAATGTGAAACTTTTCAATTCGAACTCCTTTGTGAAGATTAGAAAATAATAATGTGGTAGCTACCCGGATTTTCCAAAAATTTCAGCTGGACTTGACAATTTCATATTTCTGCTCCTATTTCACTTAAATTGAGCTCACGAATTTCAAACATTCATATCATTATTGCCTGGTTTCTCTGATCAGTTGTCAATATTTAACTGTGATTACCTTTATTTTTCCTAGTATGCTTTTTAGAGTGCGTTCTTTGGTTTCTCAAAGCTCCATAAACTTGAAGACAGCGAGTTGGCTTTTAAATTATTCCTTTTTTCAGTGGTATAGCCGTATAGTTATGAAATATAAAATGATCTTGCTCTTCCTCTTTTACTCTTCAACTTTCCTTGTTTAAGATTTTAAGAGTAAAGCTTCATTTGCCTTGAACCTATTTATGGTTTGCAATCACGAAGGGGTTAGTTTGACTTCAGCTTATAATTTATTCTACATTGTGAAAAGTTTCAACGACATACAAGCCTTAGTCCCAAAATAGTTTGGGGTCGGCTAAAGTGAAAGGCTATATATTGTGTGCATTTATGACTCAGGTCTAACTCATAATCTCTTATGAAGTGTTTGGCTCAGGTGAAATTATTATTACGTAGTATTATTTTTTATCAGAATGTCTAAGTACTTCCCTGAAATTGAAGCTTGCTCATTTGATAGATGAGACATCAGTAAATTGTCAGTCAGATTAAATAATGTTTTCCTAGAGTTTTGCTATCTTTAAGAGGAATGATGATTGTTACCATTAAAAATCTCAAGGAACTTTCCTAATATATGTGTACAACACTCATATGTACATATACAGATATACGAAGTACTATTTAAAAAATTATCCATGCCTTAGTTATTATTCCCTATGTCTCTTTTGTGAGATACGCTTTCCTTTTTGTTGAGTTTCCAAAATTATGAGCATATTTTCTTGTTTGAACTCTACTTACTTTTTATTTTCTGATTTTTATCTTTTTATCTTTCATTTTACATTTTTCTTTTAGTGGACGTGTATTGCTTTTTCTTCCTTTGGAAAGGTTACAATGATAAATAGCAACTACTATCTATATTTTCTTAAAACCCGTACCAAAACCAATTGTAACTTACATTTTGGTACGTAAAGATTCTTATAAACTCAGAGTATAACTCTGGTAAAGGATTTTTCTTTAGGGGCTTGTTTGGTTCGAGGATTTTAGAGGGGGGGTCGACATATATTTTACTAATTTATTTCTATTTATTATTTTTAGACCAGAAATAGTTAAATGATTAGTTATACGTAGTATTATGTATTTATATACAAGTTTTCAGCTTTCTTTTATTTCAAACCACATAAGTGTAAGAATTTTTTTCGAAAAACTAAATATCACCCACCTCATCCCTCCCCTCCTACGCCCCGAATTAAACAAGCCATGTGGGACAGCTGTGTGTTACTTGAAAAAGGGAGCAAAGTATACACTATATGATACATTATTTAGTTTTCTTTAGAACATAGCTTATGCATTTCTGTATTATTAATATTTGATGTAAAAGTGGATCATTTTCAGGTTGATTCTGTGTCATGTTATTGCAAGGTTGACTCAGGCTTGAAAACTGTTGCTGGTGCGAGCAAATTCGTACCCGGTTCAAAACTTTGTATCCAACCTGACATCAATCCACATGCACACAGGAGAAAAAGCTCTCGAAGAGAGAGGTTAAGAGTCCAACCACCTTTTCTTCCCAGCCTTCCGGATGATCTGGCAATTGCTTGTCTGATACGTGTTCCCCGTGCTGAACACAACAAGCTCCGTCTAGTGTGCAAAAGGTGGTATCAGCTCCTCGCTGGAAACTTCTTTTATTCCCTTAGGAAAAGTCTGGGTATGGCAGAGGAGTGGGTTTATGTCATTAAAAGAGACCGCGATGGGCGCATTTCATGGCATGCATTTGATCCGATCTACCAACTCTGGCAGCCACTTCCTCCATTCCCAGGCGAGTATAGCGAGGCACTTGGGTTTGGCTGTGCTGTCCTCAGTGGTTGCCGCCTATACTTTTTTGGAGGAAAAGATCCGATTAACGGATCCGTGAGACGGGTCATCTTTTATAGTGCTCGGACAAATAAATGGCACAGGGCTCCTGACATGCTGCGCAAAAGACACTTTTTTGGGTCATGTGTGATTAACAACTGCCTTTATGTTGCTGGTGGTGAATGTGAAGGGATACAAAGAACTCTCCGTTCTGCGGAAGTGTATGACCCAAACAAGAACCGGTGGAGCTTCGTTTCTGATATGAGTACAGCTATGGTCCCCTTTATCGGCGTTGTTTACAACGAGAAGTGGTTTTTGAAAGGACTTGGGTCCCACAGAGAGGTTCTGTGTGAATCTTATGACGCAGATACGAATTCATGGGGTCCTGTCAATGATGGGATGGTTGCTGGTTGGCGAAACCCTAGTATCTCTATGAATGGCAGACTATATGCCTTGGACTGCTGCGATGGGTGTAAGCTTAGAGTGTACGATGAGTCAGAAGATTCTTGGAACATATTTATTGATAGTAAACTTCATCTGGGGAACTCCCGCGCATTAGTGGCGGCTGGACTGGTTCCCCTAAATGGCAAACTCTGTATAATTCGGAACAACATGAGCGTAAGCCTTGTGGACATTTCGAGTCCCACAAAGAAAGTGGAGGACAACCCTCACCTTTGGGAGAATATTGCTGGAAAAGGTCACTTGAGAAACCTGTTCACTAACTTGTGGTCAAGCATTGCGGGTCGAAGTGGATTGAGGAGTCATATCGTGCACTGTCAGGTCCTTCAAGCATGAGACTTTGCAGTCTTGTGTTAAATTTAGCCACTCTTTTAGAGTCAGTTTTGGCCCTTCTTTGAAACCAAACACTTGAGTCAGAGCATGGCTGAATGTAAGCTCATAATCTCTTACCTTTCTGATGATTACAGCATAAGAAAAATGAGGCTGCAGTGTTATACATTCTTAATGTCAAGGCGGGTAACATTCATTTTCAATTTTGTCAGTTTCATGAATAGGAAGATCTCTAATATGGAGTTTTTAGTACCTGTATATCCTCTCTGATCCATAGGTTTGTAGATTTAGGCCTTTCACATGTAATTCTCTTTAATGTCCTTTGTGAATATCATGTCTCTCACCAGTCATAATTCCGTTTAGTTTAATTCTCAGCTTTTTTAGATTAATTTTGAACCATTTTTTTTATTGCTTCAGCAGTTGGTTTTGTGTAACATTTGCTTGGGCTATTTGTAATATTCTGTAGAATTATTATAAGTTGTAACGACTACTGCAAAAGACTAATCTGTACATAATAAGTTTGCACTCTCTACTAGTACGCCAGTATGCTTAGGGGAGATTTACCCAAATAGGACCAAAATATATATAGCATTTTTTTCAAAAATAGGATCTACTAGTTTCAAATGCCATAAATAGGAATTTTTAATTATGATTGGACAAAAATACCCTCTCTGCCGGTTGCCATATTTTCCCCAGCTCGCTGCCATTGATCTATCATCTATGTAGAATATGGCTGCCGATGTTGCTGTTGTCGAAGTTTGCTGCCGCCACCAATGGATCGACCTTGGTTATGCAATGGAACTAGGAACAATTAATTAGGTTAATTGAGTAGTTAATTAAATTAGGGTTTGAAATGAAATGATTAGTCATATTTAGTGAAAACCAAACATATAGTTCTATTTTTGGAACAATGCTAAGAAGTATATTTTAGTCTTAGTTTGAGCAATTTCCTCTATGTTTAGTCGTGAGGTTGGAACTTTAGTAAATTTTCTGAAATTGGAGTAAAAAATGTAAATTTTCCTAAAATAGTATTCATATTTTCGAATTTCATATCATTCTTACTTGTATGTAGGGCAACTTCTGCGGAGCTTTTCGTGTTTCAAAACTACGCATTTTTAAAAGATCTCATTGGCCGTACCATGAAAATGATATTGATGTGACGGTGTTGGAATGCTTTATTTCCTTTTTATGTTTTTTGAGTTGTTTTCCGGATTAATGCTAATTAATTAAATAATTACGGAATTAATGTTGGGTTAAAATTATTTACCATATACTGTTGGGCTTAACTCTGATCGGGGAAAGTCACCAAACCGTTTGACGACTTCCCCATTTAATGAACTGCTGCGCAGACCTTATCAGACAGAACAAACGATTGAAGCCAACAAAACAGCTCCGGTGAAGAACGATTGCAGCACCCCACTCCGGCGACTACAGCTACTAGGAGGCCATTCCACCTACGAAATACACTCCTCAATCATCTTCTTCAATCTCTAGGTACATCAAATCTCCAATTTCATCTCATTTTTGAACTTAGGGTTTAAAGTGATAATTTTCGAATTTGTTAATTAGGAATTGATTTGTGAAATGATTTGTTGTGAAATGTAAATATGTATGAAATGTTGAATTTTAATGTAATATTAAGTGTTGAATATGTAATATTAAGTGTTATATTGTTGAATGATTTGTAGGTGAAAAACTTATTATTTTGTCTTTGTTAAGTGTTGCATATGTAATAGAAATTTTTCCACTTTTGATCCCTTGAGTATTACACCACTTCCGCATTACGTACCTGACTTTCAACTTGTCCACATGTAGTCCTTACGTTTTGTCCCGTCACCATCCTTCATCCTTCCGACCAAAACTCCGGCCGGTTTCATCATTTATTAAAAAACGGAAGGGTAGTCTAGTAATTTCAAAGTCCGGTGTACCAGTAAGCTCGAAGGCCACCATGTCTACCAGTAGTTCTGCTACCTCGAAATCAACATGCCGATATGAATATGGAGAGTGGATTCCGGTCAAACATTGTCAATTTGGGCAAGAATTGAAGCTTTTGACTACATGGAAACAAGAAAACTGTGGGAGAAGGTTTTGGAAATGCAATGGAAGTGAGGTATTACGCGTCTGCTGCAGCTTTAAATTTTTCCTTAATTTTTTAGATGATTGATTTTCTTAGTATTTGTATTATGTGATTGCAGTGGTCTGAAGGGTGTGGTTTGATGGACTGGTCTGACCCTCCAATATGCAAAAGATCCAAGAAAATAATTCCAGGCTTGTTAAAAAAACTGAATGGGTATGAAAATCACATTCACACATTGGAGATGAAGCTGGAAGCAGTTGAGAAACCAGAAAAAAAGAAAGAGATGGAGAAGATAGAGCACAAAAGATACTCTTGCACGAGAATGGTCGTGTGTATTATAACAGTTTTTGTGGTTTTGTAAGCACTAACTACTGGAGGCACTATGGAGATGTCAGCGGATCCAGGGCTGATTGATGACTAAGACCATGACCAAAACGATAAAGAAAACCATGAAAACTAGTAGTCTCTCTATTGTTGGACGAAATAATGTACATCAAATTTTGTAGAAACACTTTACCTTTTAATTTATTTTCACCTGCAAACTAATGTGTATTGTGTTATTATTACTTTTTCATTTGTTTATGATGTGTTGAAGTGTTTGGTTATGCATATCAGATGTCTATACGCTGTTTTTATATTGTGTTTCTAAGCAGGTGTGTCGATTTGTATCATTTTTTACCAAATTGTGTTTTGCATGTGTTCTATCAAACGGTGAATTGCGATAATCGGGATTGATTTAGGATGAAAACAACAAATTTTCGCCACCGGGGCGCGCCCGACCGGTCCCGGTTAGGTCTGAAACAGAATGTTTGGGTGTTAACGTATTTGGGAAGGGGAAAGTCGCCAAACGATTTGGTGACTTATAATTCGCCATCCGATTTGACGATTTTTCCCGACCAGAGTTAAGCCCAGCAGTATATTGGTAAATAATTTTAACCCAACATTAATTCTGTAATTATTTAATTAATTAGGATTAATCTGGAAAAAACTCTGTTTTTTTATGTTTTTTTATTATAAATAAAAAAACCTATTAAGGCATGACATGGGCAAGCCCAAGATAGGAAAAGTCACTCCTATTAATTAGCCCCTATTAATTAGGGAACAGAAAAGGATATAATATATCCTTCTACTATTTTCGATTTATAATTTATGCCCTTATTATACTAGAAAAAGTATCATATAAATACGTTTACTTCAAAAGTCGATCAATCTGGCCGTTTAGCTAGGTTATGATTGTAATAGCACATTTTTATATTACAAATTTTATAAATGTAGTTAAATTTGAAGAAATTATATATATAAAAGTGTGAACAATATAAGAATGTCAAAATATATATTTTTTCATTTTGAAAATTATTTGTGTATTCTAGATCTTTAAGAGTTACTTCGTATTACATTTTATATTATATCATGTACATACACTTGCACTTTATTTTTACTTCTATACATGTCTCGTCATTTTCACGACGTGTCGACACCTTGATTGCTCAATATCTTTCTGAATTGGATCTGGATTTTCCTTTTCTCAACATAGATAGTATTTCTTTCTCACCTTCAACTTTTCTTCTTATTCTTCTTATAATTTGATTTTAGTTTTTCATATTTTTCATTTATATTTTTATTTAACATATTTGAGTATATTAATTGACAAGATCTTTTGACTTTAAAATCTTTCTATCATTTGCAATGGAGCCAAAAATTCATTATTTTTTGGCTTGAGATTATGATGGAATAAAACAAAATGACTCACTAAACTGTTTGCGCTTCTTTGTCATGAAGCATCAGTCAGTTCATGCAATTTTGGACGGGATTTTCACTATGGGTCATCCGGAAACAGTCTCTCTGTGCGTTAGTACAGGGGTAAGACTGCGTACATCCGACCCCCCCTTACCCCACCGTAGGTGGGAGCCTTTGCGGCACTGGGGTAAATGAAAATGAAAAAAAAATATGATCTTTTGACTTTAAAATGTTATGCCCATACGTTTACCTATGCACTTTGATTATTACATTATGCTTGTTTGGTGCAACATATTTGACCTTTTAGTTATGCTACTGCTACACTATTGTGTTCTAAACTTAACTCATCTCTTTATATAGATCATATTTAATGTTATATTTTGGTCAGTCCTGAATGATCAGAATTGTCATGTGGCCAAATCCGTTTGATGGTCTTCTTTATCGATGTTTTTGATGAAATTTTGTGAGAATATTCTTAATGAAGTGTAGAACATTGACACATAATTTCATCAAATAATCAATCGGAAAGCCATTTGAATAAGTTGTTGAAAAACAGTGCGCAAAAATATGCATAAAAAATACAGCGTTTTTCAACAATTTTATTTAACTAACTTCTCGATTGATTTTTTTGATGAAATTTTATGTGAGTGTTCTACACTTTATGAAGAACATAGTCACAAACTTTGATCGAAAGAATTGATATAGAAGGCCGTCAAACGGGCTTGGCCGCACAACGGTTCTAGTCAGTCCACCAGAATATTACTCTAAATATGATCTATATAAGAGAGAATTATTATAAATATTACTAAAACTCATGTGTTTTCCTAGAGTATGACTAATTATATTTTTTTCCTATAATGATGCATGTTGTCATCCATATGATTAATATTGACATCCTATTTTTTAGAGACAACCGTGTAGCACTTCATCTTTATTGATTGCTCCTATTTTTGTGCCACATAATTTGGTCATACACCACATCAAAAAACATCTATAGTCATATTTTAGGAAAAATGGTGAGTTTTAGTAATATTAGAGTATTTTTCCCTCTATATAAAGGGGTAAGTTAAGAACACAATAGTGTAGCAGTCTCGGAAATACAAAAATAAATAAATTAATCGAAGATATATAAATTATACGTAGTAATATTTATTCTACGTGTGCATTACATCATTATGTGATTATGTCTTCTAAGTTAGAACTGGGAAATCCAGAAACAAATATCATTTAGAAAAAATTATACTCCCCAAAAAGTTAAGAGGAAGTTCCCTAAATATGAATAAAACACGGGAAAAATTCATAAATAAGATTATCAATAATTTATTTCTAAATAAAACTTATTCACTCATATTTAGGAAAGTTTTAATCATAATGTTCTTTTAATAGGACTAAATTAGTCCTATTTCAGAAATAAAACATACATAGTCCTATTTTTGAACTTTGAGTATATTTTAATCCTATATATATGGAGCAATTTCTAAAAAGTCAAGTACAAATGAAGACTTTAATGGTAAAAATTTGGAACAAGAAAACTAATTAATAGTAGTTCAAAAATTTCTTTTTTCAAACTATGACTTTAGATTCATACCGCTATCATTCATGTTTTAAAAGAAGGTCAAAAGAAAATAATAATACTTTAAAAATGACCCCTCATTTGGATTCATAATGCTACCATTCATGTTTCTGTGATACTTTTAACCATGTTATGAGATAAGAAGCGTGCTCATGGTGGTACATCAACTAGCAGACATTATATTCGATCACCACGATAGAAAGGAACGTAATGAAGTCATTAATAAAGACCATTTCAAAGGCGAGCAATCAAAGTATACACCAGATCATTTCCGCAAAAGATTTCGAATGGGTGTGGAATTATTTACTCGCGCTTTGGAATCAATTGAAAAAACAACACTTAAAGTTTGATGCCATGGAAAAAGGAGTAAGCGATGTACAAAAAACGATAGATGCAATACTACAAATGCTTGTTTTTTGTTGTCCGACTGATGTTTTGGATGAATATCTTCAAATTGGAAAAAGGACTACAACTGAAAGCCTTAAACATATCTGTGATGTTGTGATAAGTAGTGTTTTTTAACAAGATTATTTGAGAAAACCAAACAAAAGAAGATATTTCAAGACTGCTTCAAGAAGAGGAGAATGGGGTTTTCCTAGTATGTTAGGGAGTCTTGATTGTCTACATTGACATTGAAAAAATTGCCCAACGGCTTTTCATGGTATGTATACAAATGATTTTAAACGAGTTTCAACTCTCATATTAGAGATTGTAGCTTCAAAAAATTGTGAATTTGGCGTGCATTCTTTGGTATGGATGATACTAATAATGACATCACGTTATCAGATAGCTTGATCTCCACTATTTGATGATATTATTAATGTTGTTATACCCCCATGTAGCTGTAGTGCAAGGTCATCATTATGAGATGAGGTACTATATGACCGGTGAACTTTACCCGCAATATGTCACACAGTCCATTTCTCAGCCTTCTTCTCTTAAATAGAAAATATTTTGAGCGCCAAGAAGCTATAAGTAAGGATGTTGAGCGTGCTTTTGGAGTTTTACAATGTAGGTAGCATATTGAATTGGTAGAGGCCGGACACGTATGTGGAATGAAAAAGATTTGAGTAAGATAAAGTAGACTCATATCATCTTACATTATATAATCATTGGTAGTGAGTGTACCCGAGGAATTGAATAAGTCTTGAAAATTGACAACCTCTTGGAGATGAAAGGGTTAAAAATGTGGAACTCAAGCATGAATATAATTTCATTGTCTCTAAAATGATTCTAATGAAACAAGTTCAAAAAAAGTTTGAAAAATGATCTCAATCAATTGTATATGGAGCTAGACCATGGTCAACGAACCTAGTCCCCCTAGTCAGAGACGCACGTTTGGTCCTCGGTGTTCGCAAAACCATGGGAAGAGAACTTGAGACGAGGACATATCACCTTAAGAGGGCTATACTTTGACTTTTCATCCAACCTGACCATTAACTTCACCTCTAGGCGCATGAATCCGGAGTTGTGGGCGTTGAGAGGCGCATCTTGTGCGTGGAGATCGAAGCCGAACAGATTGTCGGAGCTCCCTGGATGCAGCGGGGATGGGACGGGCAGCGCGGTGGACGACGCAACCACCGCCGTAATGAAATAGAGTGATGTTGCTTCTGTGGAGTTCGTGAAGTCAACTGTTTTGTGTTTGTTGGGGTTGGAGGCTGCGAGGGTGAACCTGAAGTCGGCGGTGAGGCCGTCGCCACTATAAGCGATGTTTGTCATGTTCGCATCCACGACGTGGTAATTCGGTTTCGAGCCGCCGGAGGGCGACGAGTGTCTGTTACAGGCCACAAGAATGACCCCCACAATTATACTCATAAGAACAATTATCAGAAAGCAGCAGCATTTCCTCGAACCATCACCGGAATCACTCGCCATTATAATGCGATAAAATCAAACCAAGTACGTGTGTGGTAAGAGGCAGCGCGCCCCTTAGCTTCCCGGCCGGCCGGCGGAGGAGATTTAAATTTCAAATCACTTAATTAATAATTTAAATATCGATGTTTTTACTCTGTATTATATATAACGCGACGTTAGTTCTTTTTATAGCCAGAATTTGGCATAGTACGTAGTAAAAACACGCCATGGTAAGTCAACTGTTTTGTTTTTGTTGGGGTTGGCGGCTGCGAGGATGAAGCTAAAGTGTAAAATTTGCCTCCTCTCTATTAACTATTTACGTACGCAATGACCGAATTTAATGAAAAAACACGCCAATCATTCCTAGATTAAACGTGGCGGTTGCGGCACGTCGAGTAGATCAGCGGAGAAATTCAAGGGTTCAGAGTTGGGAGCTTTTTATGAAAGAAAAAAAATATTTTTGTTATGAAAATGAAGAAGATGAAGACTAAATTTGAGAGATAGATATATTAACAAAAGCTCTAAATATCTTCTTCTTAATATCTGAGAATTTCTGAATTTCTGAATGAATTTACAATGTCTCATCAAGCTCCTATTTATACTGTTTGAACTTGATGATTAGTCACTTAAGGGATGAATCTAAAGATTTTGTGGCAATAACAATTTGAACCATCTGTTCTAACTAGGTTACAAGGATTAAACATAATTTCTGGATTGATGACAAGGATGAACAATTCACACTTGTCATTTCTAGGATTTTACAACACTCCCCCTTGAATGTTCATCCTTGAATAGTTGTCTATTATTTTAAAAACTTATTGTGAAAATTAAGGGGTAAAAATTACGACTTATAATGTCGTTGTATTTGGATATACTGTCTCGTTAAAAACCTTATCAGGAAAAACCCAGTGGGATAAAAGCCTGATGAAGGGAAAAAGAGTGCAGTGCATTCAAATACCCCCCCTGAATTTAGTATAAATTATGAAGACGTCGCATGCCGATTTTCTGTACAAGTTCCATGAACTTCTTCGGGGGTAAAGATTTGGTGAAGAGATCGGCTGGATTTTCACTAGATCTGATTTGTTGAATGTTGATCGTCCCTTCTTTCTCGAGATCATGAGTATAGAAGAACTTTGGTGATATGTGTTTTGTTCTGTCTCCTTTGATGTAGCCTTCTTTAATCTGAGCTATGCACGCAGTGTTGTCTTCGTAGATCACAGTAGGATGACAAGTAATAGATTTCATACCGCGTTCATTTTGGATGTGTTGAATCATAGATCGTAGCCACACACATTCTCTTCCGGTTTCATATAGTGCAATTAACTCAGAATGATTTGACGATGTAGCTGTCAATGTCTGCTTCATAGATCTCCATGAGATTGCGGTGTTACCATAAGTAAATACGTACCCGGTTTGTGATTTCGCCTTTTGAGGATCTGATAAGTATCCAGCGTCTGCATATTCGATTAAAGCAGCTTTTTCATCTTTGTGGTAGAATAAGCCAAGATCAACTGTACCACGTAGATAACGGAATATGTGCTTGATCCCGTTCCAATGACGTCTTGTTGGGCATGAACTATACATAGCTAATAAATTTACGGAGAATGCAATATCTGGTCTAGTATTATTAGCTAAATACATTAAAGCTCCCATAGCACTCAGATATGGTACTTCGGGACCAAGTATTTCTTCGTCATCTTCTCGGGGACGGAATGGATCATCGTGTATGTTGAGAGATCGAATCACCATTGGTGAAGTCAAAGGATGAGCTTTGTCCATATAGAATCTCTTCAAAACTTTCTCGGTGTAATTGGATTGATGGATGAAAATTCCATTCTTCAAATGCTCAATTTGAAGTTCGAGACAAAATTTGGTTCTCCCTAGATCTTTCATTTCAAATTCTTTCATAAGATATTTTGCAGTATTTTCAATCTCATCGTGAGTTCCAATAATATTTAAGTCATCAACATATACTTCAATTATGGCGAATCCCGAATTTAATCGCCGGATGAAAACACATGGACTAATTGGATCATTCTTATATCCTTCCTTAAGAAGGTATTCACTGAGACGATTATACCACATTCGTCCAGATTGTTTAAGTCCATACAATGACTTTTGTAGTTTAATGGAAAACATTTCTCGAGGTTTCGAGCTATAAGCTTCAGGCATTTTAAATCCTCCGGGAACTTTCATATAAATGTCTGTATCGAGTGAACCGTATAAATATGCAGTTACTACATCCATTAGGCGCATTTGCAGCCTTTCAAAAACAGACATGCCAATGAGAAACCTTAATGTAGTTGCATCAACTACTGGAGAATAGGTCTCTTCATAATCAATTCCCGGTATTTGAGAAAAACCTTGGGCAACAAGTCGGGCTTTATATCTTACGATTTCATTTCTCTCATTGCGTTTACGCACAAATACCCATTTAAAGCCCACTGGTTTTACGCCTTTTGGCGTAGGGACTATCGGTCCAAAAACATCACGTTTTTCAAGTGATTTTAATTCAGCCTGAATAGCTTCATTCCATTTTGGCCAATCGTGTCGTTTCCGACATTCTTCAATTGATGTTGGCTCATTGTCATTGTTTTCATTCATAACATTTGTGGCAACGACATAGACAAATATTTCATTAATATCAATATCTTTACGATTCCATTGCATTCCAGTAGAAACGTAGTTTATTGAAATTTCATAATTATCAACGTTTCTATCATTATCTAGAATATTTTCCTCATTTAAGGAAGTTGGATCGTCATTTGAGATATTTGTTTTTTCAATAATATTTTCTATGCCAATATTTTCAAATTGATCATTTTCTTGTTCAGAAGGATGAACATCTTTGGCATCACAGATTGATTCATGCCTTTTAATTTTTCTTGGTTTTATATCTTTCGATCCAAGTGGCCTGCCACGCCTTTTGCGTATAGAAGAATCATTTGCAAGAGATTTTTCAGAATTCTCTGCTGGGATTTCGATTCTGGCAGGGGCATTCATGACAGGAATATGTGACTTTGTCACTTTCTTTGTGTCTGTGAATGCATCAGGCAACTGATTTGCAACGTTTTGTAAATGGATTATCTTTTGCACCTCTTGTTCACATATATTTGATCTTGAATCAAAATGTGATAATCCTGTTGCATTCCATGTAATCTCTTTCGTAATTGGGTTGAATTTATTATTTTCTCCCTCTAAGGTTGGGAACACTGTCTCATTGAAATGACAGTCTGCAAACCGTGCTGTGAATAAGTCACCAGTCATCGGTTCGAGATATTTTATTATTGAGGGAGATTCAAATCCAACATAAATTCCCAACCTTCTTTGAGGACCCATTTTTGTACGATGAGGTGGAGCAATTGGAACATAAATAGCACAACCAAATATTTTTATGTGTGCTAAGTTTGGCTCTTGTCCAGTAACTAATTGCATTGGGGAATATTCATGATATGCAGTTGGTCTAAGCCGAATTAAATTTGTTGCATGTAAAATAGCATGCCCCAAGCTGATGAAGGTAAATTACACTTCATTAATAATGGTCTAGCGATTAATTGTAATCGCTTAATCAGAGATTCAGCAAGAGCATTTTGTGTATGAACATGAGCAACAGGGTGCTCCACATCAATCCCAATCGACATACAATAGTTGTTAAATGATTGGGATGTAAATTCTCCTGCATTGTCAAGTCGGATTCTCTTTATAGAATGATCCGGAAAATGAGCTCTTAATCGTATGATTTGAGCAAGGAGTTTAGCAAATGCTAAATTTCTAGTCAATAAAAGACTAACATGTGACCAACGTGTTGAAGCATCAATCAACACCATAAAATATCGAAATGGTCCACATGGTGGGGCTATCGGCCCACAAATATCTCCTTGAATCCTTTCTAAAAATGCAGGTGATTCAGTTGCAATTTTGTTCATAGAAGGCCTGATGATCATTTTGCCAAGAGAACAGGCCTTACAAGGAAAATCACTTGATAATGGAACCCTGATATCTTTAATGGGTGTCCAAGTGAGGTCTTAATGATTTTATGCATCATTACTTGGCCTAGGTGACCTAAACGGTCATGCCACTACATGAATGTTTTCTGATCATCTAACTTTGTGTTAGAAACCAAATTTATTTCAAATGGACTAATATATGTGAAATATAGTCCTGAGGAATATGCTGGCATTTTTTCACAAATATATTTAGTGCCAGATTTAGTTGTTGTAAGACAAATATATTCCTTTTGGTTTTCATTCATGGTTTCTATGTGATAACCATTTTGACGCTTATCTTTAAAACTCAATAAATTCCTCCGCGATTTGCTGGAGTATAGAGCGTCATTTATAATTATTTGTGTCCCGTTAGGGAGCATCACATATGCTTTCCCAGAGCCTTCAATGAGCTTTGCAACACCTGATATGGTATTGACTTTAGCTTCAACTAAAGTCATTTGAGAAAAATATATTTTATTTCTCAAAATGGTGTGCGTTGTAGCGCTGTCTATCAGACATAGCTCTTTATCATTTGAGTGATCCATATCTTCAATATGTGTAAATAAACATAAGCTTGATCACAAATTGTACATATAATTTAACACAAAGTACATATATTACACACATTTATTTAAAAACAAAAGAAAAAAGGGGAAGAAAGAAAAAATACATAAAACTAATATGTTACAACATAAGGATTAGAGTCTAATATTTTATTTTGTGACATTTTGATTTATTGCAAAAGCATCGTCCATAATGGCATCATTCACGAAAAAGTCGGACACATCGAATTTTGGCAGAGGTGGAGTTATGTCATTGACATAATTGGCTTCCATATTTTTGCCTTTGTTCAAATTCTTGGAAGCTTGAAATATTTCCACCAGATGTTTCGCAGTACGACATTTGTTAGCCCAATGCCCCGTCATGCCACATTTATAACAAGTCGTCTTTACCGAGGTTTTTGGAGGGCGATTTATTTGATGAGCCTTTTGTTTGCCCTTATAATTTGGTCTATTGACCTGTTTATATTCTCGATGTGACTTGTTTTTATGACCATTAAAATGCCCACGTTTAAAATGCCTTCTACTACCACTGTATGTTGCATTTGATTCAGTGGCTAAATTATGGCCAGATGGACCATAAACCGAAGGATTAGAAC